TGAACTTTTGACATAAATGTTTTCGCTGTTGAGTCCATAGAGTCTGAAGTTGCTGATATAATGATTTGGTCATAATATGAGTCATTTCCTAAACGTTCTGTTATGAGTATATGACGAATGAGGTTAAATGTCTTACCTGAACCCATCTTTCCACAATAGAAATAAACACCATTTGAACAGAACTCATAGTCCTTACTGAAAGGAAGAATGAGAGAAGAGTTAAGTTTGTCTGTAGTTTCATTCATGTCTTCATCTACGTCATGTATTAAATGCTTCATTTTATCTCCATTAAAAATGCAAGTCAGAAATATTCAGAACATAGCACCGAGTCTAACTGACAAGAGTATAAAGATATACTATGAACATGTTATGATGAAACCAACCAAAATTCAAGAAAGTCAGTATACTTATGAATATCCAAGACACTGGGTAGAGTATGTAGGAGGTGAGAAAGCTATTGAAATAAGACAAGTTAGAAGTATTCCAGCAGGAAGGACAATATTATTGAAGAACTTTAATGTTTTGAGATATAATGATGAAACAAAGAAGCAAGATAGTTTCCCTGTTGCTGTGTATGTGAACTTAGATACAGGAGATGACATGAAAGTTTTTAATACAAAGCTTCAAACGGTAGTGAGAGAACAACTGACTGCGGAAGGACACCCATTACCTTCAGAAGTTACCATAGCGTATAATTTTGAAACAAATGCAATAGATTTTAAAGTCGTCTCTGCAAAGAAGTCAGGTTTTACATTTAATGAAGCAGATGTATATTCGAATGAAAACTTCAAAGCTATTGCATGGTTAGATAATGACGATTGCTTTAAGAAAATATTTAAATTCAGTGACTCAACGATGTCAATAGATGACCTTCGTGGAATGTTACCATCGACGTTTACAGTAGAAGGTTCAGCAGGATTGCTTACAAGATTGTCAATTGGTGGTATTTGGTCTCGTGAGAACATTGTTATAAAATCCAGTATAAGTGAATTTGCTGAAGAATCTATATTATGTCTTTCAAACTATATGTATTCGCCGCCGAAGCATTATAGTATAACAAACTTTGTCAGTAAGTTTAATATAAGACTTGTTGAACCTTCTTCAATGAAAGATGTTGTGCTACCCAAAGACGGAAAGGATGGACTCATTATTGAGATGATTTTAATAGCATATTAAATGAGCTTGTTCTTGAAGGTCATTCATGATGAAATAACTGTTGTAGAAGATGTTAGCAATTGTTCAGACATTTTGAAGCGTATAGATGAGATAAGAAAGAAGTTTATGAATGAGAATGTTTATGTTTCATTGACTTTCTCCAGTAAAGAGAACTTTTATGAGATAATATTGAAGAGAGATGATTTTAATATGGTGTAAATGGTAGCTTGGGCAGCTTTAGGCGCAATGGGAACAAAAGCATTAGCATTTGGAGCAAAAGCACTTGGGGCTTATGACGCAGTAAATAAAATGAGTGGAGGAAGAGTTTCGAAGACATTAGATGCAAATAAAGGAAAGATTGGAGGCTGGGTTGCAAAGAAGTTAAGATTAAATAAAATAGGGCTCATAAATAAAGCATCCAATTTGGTTGCGACTGAGTCAGAAAATGCTTTAGGAAAGGACGATGAGTTTGCAAAACATGCAAAAGACTTTAATGACCAGATGAAAGGTGAAACAATGCATTTAAATAGAGTCGATGGAACTAAAGAAAATGTTTCTTCTCCACCAGTAGTTCTTCCGTATGGTCCCTATGGAATGTATGGAAACCCTTACGAAAGACCATTTGACCCATTGACTGGTGGAAGTAACTGGTATCATTACGGACGAAGAAGAAAGACAGTTAAGCTGGAGACAGACGTGAAGAAAGCAACTAAAAAGAAACCAAGGAAGAGAGTTATAAAGCAATGAATTCAACATGGTTAGAAAAGAGGTTAGAAAACGTGTTAGATCTAACATTCTAACATAAACATTATTTTTGTGCTATGTTTTCATACGTGTGAGGGTGGTGATATCATTAATTTTTATATAAATGACAGAACAAAAATATAACATTTCTACTCAGCAGGAATGAGACCCTTACTGACTATGTATTCGTTTAATGCTTGATGAAAACAATGGTACATATTATCGTATGGGTATACACAACGTCTGTTTCCATCGTCGTCGTATATGTAGAGCTCAAATCCAGTCCAACCTTCTTTTGTACAATATGTAGCTTTATTTAAGTATGCATTTATGTAGATAAGGCAATTTTCTTCATCGCTCCAGAAATAATTTTTCGTCATTGTTGAAATAGTTTTCGTTCCTCTGCGACCATAAGGAATGTATGCAATGAACTTTGCGTCATATGGGATTGTAATATATTCAGGGTTTCTTTCATCGTCAATGGGTCTGTCTTTGTTAAAATGCATGTTTCTCAGTTTTACTTGAGTTTTGAATAGTTCACGGAAACGTTCTGGGAAAGAGTCATAGTAAATGTAGTCGGACATGTCTTTGTAATGAAATAAAAAATTTAAAATAAGGTTATTTTTATTTAGTGAGGACGGTAGTGAAGTCGTTAGTGAAGTCGTTAGTGAAGTCGTTTATGTATCAGATGGTTTTGTAAATATTTAAGGTTAAGTTGGTGTTTGTGTTTGTGTTGTAAAATATACGTTACCGGTTTTGTAAAGTGTCAAAACCGCTAAGTTGGGTAAGGTGGAACGCAGTGCCACAGTACCCAAGATAGTCATACTAACTAATATACAAAGGGAAAAACTAAATCACAACTTAAACAGTTGAAAGATTTCAAAAATAAAGTATTAACAGAAGAAGATATTGATGAATTATATAAATTATATAATCCTGAGCCGCAAAAGCCAAAGGAACAAAAGCCAAAGAAGAAAAAGCCGAAAACAACACCAAAAGAGAAAGTAGCAAATGTTCAACAGCTAAAGGTGCAAAACGCCCAGGTCCTTCAGACCATAAATGATGCACAAGCTTTAATTTATGATTCATTAGTTAAACCATATTCAGCCCGACTTTTAAATGAAGATCAACTTTTGGAATTCATCCTTCAACATAAACTCGAAGCGGGAAAGTATATCAAACCTTTATATACAGCATATTTAAAACAAATGAATAGAATACATCCAGAATTAATGAAAGGAAAATCAACAACTAAAACTTCATCATCCAAAATCAAAGCAGATAAAATTAAACCACTTGCAACACCAAAACCTCCAACGGTAGTACCTCCTCTTCCTTCAGTTAATCCTTCATCATTCACTTTATTATATCCATTTCAAACATTAAAGAAGCAAAAAGATTTTAAAAAGGATTTCAAGATATTAAATAAACCAACTGACCCAAAAATTCAACCATTAAAGGAAAAATTCAGTCGCCCTTCATTTGCACCATATCCATATTCATACGAAATCGATCATCTGGAATATTCAAAAGGAAACGTTACTTATTTATTTGCCATTAACATTAACACTAGATATTTATATTGCATTCCAGTGAAAGGGAAAACAGAACAGGAAACAAGAAGAGCTATTCAATACTTACTAGATCATGAAAGAGTAGATAATATAAGGGGTGATGGTGATAAAGGATTTCAGGCAGCTATGGCTCATTATTTCCCACAAATTAATTTTTACTTCTCATCTTCTCCATATACGTTTCATAATAAAATAGTTGATGCGGTAATGAGAACTCTTAGAGATGCGTTAGGGGTTAACGGTCGGATATACTGGGATGGAAATCATGACTCCATCATACAGCAGTTAGTATATTATTACAATAATACATGGCATAGAACTATAAACATGAAACCAGTGGAAATGAAAAATGATATTTCAAAAGAATGGGAATATATTAGAAAGCAAATGGAAAGTTAAATGATGTTAAACGTGAACAAATTAATTCGGGGCTCATGAATTTTAAACAAGGGGATAAAGTTTTGATTCATCTCGATTATGGAAAAACTAATAAATCAATGACAAAAAGAAGACGAAGATTTGACACAATAGCTGAATTTGTTAGATATATTAACGGCAATGCATTAGTTGAAGTTGACAATAAATTAATAGAAATTCCGATTTATTTTATTACTCCATTATATTTAAATAATATTTAATTTTTTTATTTCGTAAGAAATGAGTGACAACAAAGCAGCCAAGAGTCCTGATTCAATTAAGATTCAGAGTCCAGACAATGAATATAAAAAGAAACTAAACAGAATTAAATCAAAAATATGCTATTACAAAAAGAAGCCGCAATGCGGCGGGGCTGATGCCCATAAAACTAAAGGAACTGAAAACGATAAAGAGAGGAAAGAAATAATCGAAAAATTAGAAACTTACCGTTCAATCCTTAAACTGAGTGAAGCAAAAATAAAAGAATTTAATAGAATAAATAAATTGATTGGAAGAGATGAATTTAATAAAGATGAATTTTTAAACTCAATCCAAATTTAATTTTTATTCCTTTTCGACAACGTCTCTTCGAGACGCCGAACCCTTCTGGGTTCTTCTTTCCATCATTACTGCATAACCGCATCTTCTCGGTTTTCGTGGTTTGTTGTTTTTAATTCGTTCTTGCATCATTTTTATCATTTCCTCCCTTGTTATGATTCGTGGTAAATTTTGAGCTTGTGGGGTATCCATTTATATAAAAATAAAATTTTGTTATCAGTTATTTTATCATCATTTTATTAAGTTCATCTTTAGTTAATTTGAATGATAAGAAAATTTATTTTTGAATAACTGAAGGTGTCACCACGTCACCATGTGTCACCTGGTTAATTAACTTCTTTTAAAAATGATGACAACATGACATTTAGACAACAGGTACGAAAGGAGGAAGGCATTTATGAATCATTTTTGAATAACTGAAGGTGTCACTACGTCACCATGTGTCACCAGGTTAATTAACTTCTTTTAAAAATGATGACAACATGACATATAGACATCACAGCAGGATTAATGCAAAAATAAATTCCAATCATACTTTATACTGCAAGACCTTCAGGTCTCGCCGCTTAGCGGCTCATTTACAGGTATTTCATCGTCAGTAAATGAATCCTCATTATCGTTTGGTTCAACCTGTTTATATAATCCTTTCATTTCTTCTTTCAAAACATAACACCATGTTTGTTTACCATCTATTCTTCTCTGTTTCCTATCACATTTATCCTTAATGCTCATTTGGAAATTCTTGTCTTTCATGTCTGATGGTTTGCAGCATAGAGCATTTTTACACGTCATACCTGCACACAGTTCATCATAATGTGTATTTATCCATTCATCTAAAGGATTTGTTGATAATTCAATTAAATCTTGTTTGGCTTCAGTCATCGGTATGATTCGTACATTAAATGATGAAAGGTCATATTGCATAAAATACGTCAGTAAATTATCATAAAATTCCTTAGTGCATGAATCCATTAAATTCTTGAAGTAATCAAATTGACCCTTAAATTTACCATTAACTCTTAAAACTACGTATCTTCTGTCTCCAACTTCAATTTTGACAGGGTAGACGTTATTAGTTACGAAAATGAAATTAGCAACATTCTGAGCAGTTCTTCTGGGTTGATTCTTTTCATTAATTCTAATCTCATTATCCGTAATAATTGATTTCAAAGCGTTGAAGTTTGCGAGTCTATCTTCACCTACATTCTTGAGTTCATTAAGTACAAGAAACATTTTATTCTCAACTACTGAATTGAAATTACCCGTTAGCTCACTTATTTCGGTAATGTTTTTACATGAATAACCGGCGAGAAGTTCAGAAATAATGTCTGTAAATCTGTTTTTACCTGTTCCCTGAAGTCCTTTCAAAATAATTGCTGTTTCATTCTTGATTCCAGGATGTTGAATCATTGATGCAATCCAGCCGAGAAGGTATTTATACACTTCATCGTTATTATCACAAATGGCTTCTTTAATGAAATTCATAAACATCTCAATTTTTGAGTAATCAGGCTTTTCGAGAACGTTGTATTTATAACCTTGAAACGTTGAGAAAACATCTGGGGAATCAGATTTAAAGCAAACACCCTTAACGGTTAATGAGGATAATTGATTTAGTAGTACATCCCATGCTGTTATTGTTTTACCTTCTTCTTTAAATAATTTAATCATTTTGAGTGACTCTTTCATGTTTGATTGAAGAACGAATGATATTTGATTCATTTTGTCGTGGATATTATAGTCCTTTTGAATGAAATATTTATTTCCACAATCTACAAAACGGATTACACGTGATAAATCCTCAATTACTTCAGAACTGTTTTTATACTGATGATTTTCAGCCTTGCGTCTAATATCTGTTATCAAAAACGAGTCATCAAGTTTTATATCAAATGTTATTTTTGGCTTACGTAATAAAGGCAAAACGTATTCATCATAATATTCCTTTTGATATAGTTTTAGAATCTTCACTAAAACAAATGGAGAAGTCATTAAATGTGCATATCTACTACGTGCTTTTTCAAAATTACTTTTTGCATTTTCAGTTAAATTGCAGAAGTTATAAACGTTATCGTATGCTTCATTAATTAAATGATTAGGTAACGAATTAATTGCTTGAAACAGTGTGAATAATGTAACTTTTTCTAAATTCATGTTTCCACCGTCATTATGTACTTCAAAATCACTGATGCCATCAACTATGCTCTGGGCAAGTTTATCGTCAATGTTTACATCTTTGTTTTCATTCATGATAGTCTTTATTTCTTCGTTCTTTTGTTCAACTCTTACCTTAATATTCAAATCATTTAATATATCATTCACTGTTCTGGTTAATGTTGAATCGTAACTTCCACGAATGAATGAGTATGTTTTTATTGGTTCTGTTGCATTCTTGCGAACTCTTGAATCAGCCATAACTACTAAAGAACGCTTTGAATCATCCATAGAAGTCATTATGTCAATATCATAATCATTGCAGGAATAGCATTTAATCATTCTGTTCGAAACTGAATAGAAGAAATTAGTGTTGCAATAAATGTGAAGACCTCCTGAAGCGGTTTTAACGATAACATCTTTATCCGAAAGTTTTGATAAAATATCTTTTCTAACTGTTTCTTTAAGTTCATCATTGTATGATTTATTGATATCAACATCTATAATCGTTAAATTTGAAATTTTATTTACTAATAAAGCCATACCAGTTTTCCTTCCTCTTCCTCCATCATGTTTGAGGTAGTTATGTAAATCAATCTTGTTTTCACCAATTCTTTCGTTGAGGGTTTTAGTTTCTGCCACAACTAATTCCTCAGCTAATGAATCAATAACTTTTTCATCAGAAACGATATAGTTGCTGTTGTTGTTTGTTGCTGTCATTTATATAGGAATAAAATAATAAAAATAATTTTAAAACTAACTTTATTTTTGGACTGCATCAAATTTCCTTTGTTGATGTTGTCTAAATGTCATGTTGTCATCATTTTTAAAAGAAGTTAATTAACCAGGTGACACATGGTGACGTAGTGACACCTTCAGTTATTCAAAAATAATTAATTATTGAATAACCTAAAAACCATTAACGATAAAATATATTTTTGGTCGTTTATGACAAAAATAAATGGTTCATTTACTCACAATATTTTTGTACAAAACGACCCCAAACTTTTAACTTCTTTTCTGCAGTTTCTAATGCTGTCTTAGCGAGTTCATATTCTCTAAATTCTCTCTTTAAATCTTCTTGTTCCCATTGGTCTAGTTCGTATGGAGAATCTCTATAACCATAACATATCTCACGTTCATGTTCTAATTGTTTTTCGCGCATTTTTCTAACTTCTTCTTCAAACAAATGTTTGGCATTCTCTACTGTATCTTCGAGTTCTTCTTCATCTAATTTCTCATGAACTTTCTTGTCTATGGAGTCCATAATATCTTTGACATAAAATGCATACTTTACAGAGCACCATTCAGCAACAAAATGAACGAGGTCAGGATGTATGTATTTAAGAATGATATCACCAAATGATTTAGGATAATCATCGAACGCCTGAAATGCTAACAAATCATTTACCGGAATAATCGTATCAAAAGTGACATCAACTTCTTCATTTGCTTTCTTGAAAACTTCTGAAGGGTCAATATATTTACCACATACTGAGTTATCATATTTTTGAACATTATTATATAACGAATGAACAAACTTTTTAACTTTCCTTTCTGATTTTGGTTTATATGTTGCAAATGCGAAAGATTCACGGGCGCAATCCATCTGAAGATAACCGGCATCACCTCTTTCGGTTTCTACTTCTAATTGTTTAAAGCTTTGATTTGATGATTTGTAACCAACGAATAAACGCATGCATTTAAAAGCGGCATCACATGTGAAAGCTTTATTTGAAACTAGAGTTGCTTTAACTTTGCGTTTAATATATGTGTCACCTAATTGGTTCACATCATGAGCTGGATTTGTAATTCTTAAATGAGTTTGTTTATCATCAAAATATGGAGCATCAGAGTCATAGCATGAACTTTCAAGTTCTCTATAATATCTTCTACCGTCATTCTTTGCGAATATTTCATTTATCTTTTCGAATGAATGAAACACATTTCCATTAATCGGTTTAGTGTTTGGCACCAAATAGTTAGTCGTCATTTATTAATAAATAAAAAATCAAAATTAAAAGATGAAAATGAATTTTTAATTTTAATGAAATAATCAACTATGGCTGCAGGTATATTTAAGAAACTGTGGGATAGAGTAAAAAGAGGAGCGAGTAAAGTTTGGGAAACATTGAAGAAGGGGCAAATTGGATATTTAAGAATAAAGAAGCAATTAGTGACGTTGCTGAATCAATAACACCAAAAGCTGCCCCAATAAGAGAAGTTTTAAATAAAGGAGAAAAAGTTTATCAAAGACTACAACCGATACTAAGATAAAAATAATTTTAAGCCGCTAAGCGGCGAGATGATCCATAGGATCTCATATTTATTTTTCCACTATCTACCTCCTATTTATTAAGTATTCCTTCAGCTATTCCACCAACTGCGTTACCTGCTTGTGCTCCCATCGCCGGATTACCTGCTTTAGTACCTAATACTCCACCTATGATAGTTCCTGCCGTTTTCGCTACTGGTGCCAAAAAGTTTGCAACGGGTTTAATAATCTTTTTATAAACCCAACCCGCAGCTTTCTTAATTCCATCCCATAATTTTTTAAAGAATCCTGCCGCCATTTCTGATTTAATATTAATTAAAAAAATATATTTCATCACTTATATTCTAATTTTTATTTAATGATAAATGAAACCGATTTTAAAAATAAATGAAACAGAGGAGGAAGAAATAAATGAAAGTGAAAATGTTCAACAAAAAATAAACGTTGTTAAACCAATTACTGAAATAAAAATTTTTTCATCTGTTGAAGAATTTAATGACTATTATGCTAATAATAAAAAATTATTTGAAGAATTGACAACGTGTAAATTGAATAAAATGTTTAAAGTTGATGGATTCAAAATTTCAAAAATAAAAGGAGTGGTTAGTTTGAAATCTATTCCTCAATCAAGAATCACCTCATTAATGAAAATTAATGATTTAACAAAAAGAATAGAAGAGATTGAAGAAAGAATGAATCAAATAATTGATTTCATAAATTCAAATAATCATTAGTTTCTTAAAGTTCTATGTTGAACTCATCAAATTCTTCTTCTTCATTACCATTACCTTTAGCGAGTTTATTTACTCTTTCAACTTTATCTTTTGATAGTCTATCGTTTAATTTTTTCTGAAGTTTTTCGTTACCAAGTTCTAAAATTTTACACGGATGATATTTAAACCCGTTAAATTCTTTTTCCTCAGTTTTAATCATTAATCTACAAAGAACTTTAGTGAGGTGGTTTTGTTGTTTAAACCATTTATCCTTAATATTTGTTATAAATTCAATATCCGGAATTAATTCCCAAATTTTTGAATTTTCGATTAATTTACCATCAAATGCAAAAGCAATAGGTTTAATATTAAACTTACCTTTATAAAATAAACTTTGTATGTAATCATCAAAATAAACGTCTACTTGTTTAAACTGGGTGAGAATTGGTGAAAGTTTATCCATTAATTGATTTACAGTCACGAATTTAGAGCTGTTCATTTCTTACGAATTAAAAAAATAAATTATTCAAAAATGTAAGACATGAATTTTTAAAGTTTATTTTTAAAAAATTTTTTTATTTCATTATGGTAGTGAATCTTTCATTCATGAAAATAATTATTTCTAATTTCTTTTATTCTCTCGTACATACTAGATTTGAAGAATTCGGAACTTTTACCATAATCTCCTAAATGTTTTCTTATCCCTAACATGTGCCAGTTATTATATGAAACTGAATAAACTTTATTTTTATCTTTACACCTTTCATCACTTCCAATATATTTATATCTCAGTTTTGATTTAGCATTTTCATATTCATTAGCGTTTAATAATTCACAGTCTTCCTTTTTAAATTGATGTTTAAGATATTCAGGATTTAATACTCTACGTTTATATGCTCCTAACTTAGTTCTAAAGGTTTTTCTACAAAATTTAGGAATTCCATCCTCTTTAATGTCATCAATGATTTCCATTTCATTATTTTCAATTTCTTCTTCTCGTTTATGAGGTCTTTGATTATGACTCCATTGATTCCATGAAATTAAATATTCTTTATCATTATATTTATACCTCATTAGCTTATTTTGGCTTTCATATTCATTTAATAATTCACAATCTTCATTTTTAAATTGAAGTTTAACCCATTCAGGATTTAAACAATGTTTAATTAATCGCGGAATATCTGACATCATCTATATATAGGAGGGGGGCACAAACCCGCCCAGTGAGGTGAAGTGAAAAGTGACAAGTGTACATGTCAGAAATGTAAAGTGTCAGATTTAAAACAAAAAATGGATTAATTTATTATTATATGATAGAGAGATTTGGTAAGTTAATATCAAATTTGTAAGTAAGGGAAAAAAAAGTAAGAAAGAAAGAAAAAATTTTTAAAAAATAAAAAGCCACTCGCTTCGCTCGCGGTTGACAAAAAGAACAAATTCGAAAAATAATTGTATGAAATTACGAAACTAAGCCGCGAGCGAAGCGAGCGGCTTAAGAAAAGAACAGATTCGAAAAAAGATTGTACGAAACTACTAAACTGAGCCGCGAGCGAAGCGAGCGGCTTAAGTAAACAACATATTTCAGATTATCGATACTAAAAATTTTTTTATTTTATTACATTTTTTTTGCATTTTTTTAAAGCTTCTTAACTTAAATCATGGAATGTCTCAAAGACAAAAGTAGCATACAGCATGTAAAGCTAAAGAAAGATAATCATAATTAATACCTTAATTTTTAGTATTACGCATTTTTAGGTGCAAAATTTAAAAACATTCTAATACAATAGAGCAGTTTCCAAAAGTAGCATACAGCATGTAAAGCTAAAGAAAAATAATCATAATTAATACCTTTAAAGTTTAAAATCTTGATTTTTTTTAAAATCAAATATTTATAACTTTAATACATACAGCTTAAACCTTATACTTGTTTTCTCTTGTGAGAAAGCAATCTTACAAAGCTAACAATCCTAAAAAATAAAGAATTAAAATTTAATAATTTAATCTAAAATTAAAATCAAAATTAAATAAAATGAGTTCTTTGTAATAATACTTTCAAGGTAGGATATATTTTAGTGGGATCTATTGAGTCATCACTAACAGCATTGAGCAATCTATTGAGCATTGAAATACTCTCGATTTTTCTTTGTCTTTTTACATCAATTTCTGCGTTAGTTGCTTTTTCCATGATCCTAATAACACGGTCATCTGCTGGATTTTGATCAATTTTGAGTTTGATAACGAAAGATGGTATCACTTTTGTATAAATTTATATAATAACATCATCAATTCTGAGATTTTTTCGATCAGGAAAATAGTCATGTTTGAGTGTTCTAAAATGAGCTTCGGCAATATTGTTAGTTGCGTCGCCTTCACGCCTGTCACGAGCAATCCATCTTGATATGTTGTAACGCCATTGTCTGTTAAAGTATTGAGATGCTGTTGGATCTGTGTCGAGCAACTCCAGAACTTGATCATAGGCAGCATTTGCTTCTTCCTCATGTTCTGCATCTAATTTGAAGACTAAATCCTTCATCAAATTATAGAATTGTTCAAATTTTTCTTGAGAAGAAAACTTATTTGATTTGCGAAGAATTGCACGAAGAACATGTACTCCGCACCAAAGTATTTGAGCTTGTGGAATGCTTTCTTCTATTGCTTGAGCTATCTGTGGAGCACAGTCCATGCTAATGTATTCTGGCTCAATTGTTACCCATCTGAGATAGGCGCACACGCAAACTTGAATGTTTTGATAAGTGTCTGGTTGACAAAAGAAATATAAAAAAGGGAAAATGTGAAAATCTTTGATTTTGCCAGTAAATGCATACAATGGAATGTTTGATCGCAACAATTTATAGGTGCTGTCTATATGAAATGTCTTGATACTATGCGCATAAGCTTTGCCTTCAAAAGGCGCGTAATAGAAACACATATTATTGTCTGAGACTTCAAATGCAATGAGATCATCTGGAGATTCTTCTTGTACTGTCTGAACAAAGATTTGCAATGACACAACATCGTCAGGAGAATATCTAGTTTGAAGAGCATGTATTCTCTCTGCAAATCGTTTGATTGCACGTGGTTTTTGAGCGTACATCTCTGGAATGGACGGACCTGTAAGAGGAATTTCAAGATCTTTGAATGCATTTAGCTGTGCTATCGCTCTTTGATTGTCATCTGTTTGGAAGTAATGTTCTAAATATTTGCGATAAAAGACAGACGAATATTGACTTTTGTCATTTGGGGCGGAATGATCATGTTCTTCAACTATTTTGATTAGTTTGTATTTATTTTGATCCAAGATTGCAACATTAAAATGTGCAGGACATTTTGGATATTTGCAGTGGAATGAAATCTGAGATCTTTCTTTCCTGACACGTTCACAATATCCATACTGTGCTTGTATTTCTTGTTTAACTCCAAATTTACAAAGATCCATAACAGTAAAGATAGTTTCTTCTTCTAATTCCATTTGAAATTGAAATGAAAATTAAAAATTCAGAAATTTGAATAGATTTGGTCTGTAATTAAATGAGAATAGCAGTTTGTTCGTCATTGTTTGAGGCAAGAGTATTATAGGAATATTATATGATGGATTTGAGTTGCATATAAAGAGTGCAAAAGGATAAAGAGAGAAATTTTGTTAGATTAAATTATTAAATTTTAATTCTTTATTTTTTAGGATTGTTAGCTTTGTAAGATTGCTTTCTCACAAGAGAAAACAAGTATAAGGTTTAAGCTGTATGTATTAAAGTTATAAATATTTGATTTTAAAAAAAATCAAGATTTTAAACTTTAAAGGTATTAATTATGATTATCTTTCTTTAGCTTTACATGCTGTATGCTACTTTTGGAAACTGCTCTATTGTATTAGAATGTTTTTAAATTTTGCACCTAAAAATGCGTAATACTAAAAATTAAGGTATTAATTATGATTATCTTTCTTTAGCTTTACATGCTGTATGCTACTTTTGTCTTTGAGACATTCCATGATTTAAGTTAAGAAGCTTTAAAAAAAATGCAAAAAAATTGAATACTTTACTGGCTGGGCAAATTTGTCGCCGCCCCTATATATAGCTTCTTTTATAAAAGATAAAAAAATAAATTATTTTAAAATTAATGTTAATTTTTTAATGATTTATAAATAAATATATTTTAATGCATCGTCTATATATAGATGTAACAAAAAAAGTCACTAAACCCGTCCGCATATACTACTAATTATATATTGACTTAATATTAACATATTCTTATGGAAATACTGAACAATCATCCTTACAAGGAAATCTTATATAAGCAATGAAATTTGAGAGTTTTTATGAGAAATGAAATCTAAATTTCAGAAAAATACCTAATAATTTATTGATTCCAGTATAAAACAGATATTTTTTATAAGAGTTAGTCATGATGGTGATTAAAAATTAAACAATATTTATGGTAAATACAAACAAATTTTTATTCTAAGTTTGGTCAAGAGGGGACATTGTATCTGTCTCACTCATTATCTTATTTTCTGCATTTCTCTTTCTGTGGTACCTAAATTCGAAGACAGTAGCGATCACAAATCCGATTGGAATCAAAACAAAAACAAATGAATCAATCCAATAGGCTTTGTAGCCCATGTCGCGTCCGAACTTGAACCAAACACAGTATCCGCCGCAAAGCAAAACAATATCTATCAAAATATCAATAATTATCTTATAAAATTTGAAATTTCTTCTGACAATGATCATAGCAACGTCCAGCATGACTACAAACACTGATGCGTGGTAGAACATGGTAACGCACAATGAAAAAACGTCAAAATTCGTTTTTCCGTCGACAACAATTCCCCAAGTCCAAATCATTGATATTTTTCCTTGCGTTTTGTAGATCATTGTCGGTAAAAAGAATGGCCATATGAAAAAGAAAGTCAAAAGGCATCTATACCATATGCATGTCTTCTTAACAACGTTTCCAATCTTGATTGGTCCGAAAAGAATGCAGGAAAGGTATGTTTTGATGCCAGCTTTGAACCAGAATGATACAAGGATAGGAACTAAGTAAACGTAAAGGAAAATTGCCGCTAAAATTATCCACCACATTTGGACATTGAGAGCGCGCTTTTCTCTGAATGGTCCGGCTTGTTCTCCGACGTAAAATTCGCAGTAGTAGTCTAAATCTCCTGAAATTGTAATGTTATTCTTGCCATTTTCGAATTCTGCGTCAAGGGAGTACAATGCGACGTTTTCTTTGATGAATCTCTGAAAAGTAAGTGTTCCTTTAGCTGATCCGGACACCATGAACTGTTTTTCCCTTGAATTCGAAAAAGATAAAACTCTGATTGGGATTTTCTTGGTATTTAGTACAGTTTTCTGGGATTTTGTGGGTCCTGGAGATGTAAGTATTGCATAATCTTTGGAGTTATTCAAGACTTGGAACTCATAATTGACATATCCATGGTCAACTGTAAGGATATTGAAGCCCGGAACGATCTTTAGGGGTGTTGATGTGAATTCAACGTAGTTCTGCTTGTTATGCTTCACTTCTGGCTGTAATGGATGGGTATGACCAGTTAAATGAGCAACAACGTTATGTTTCTTGAGTAATGACTTAAAGGTTTCTTTTGATTCGGTTTTTGCATTGAAATTCATGACAGTTTCTTGTGGAAAATGACTAACTACGATAGTAAATTTTTCATTGTCACTTTTTTCTAACTGAGATTTTAATGCTTCAATCATTTTAGATTTATAGACTGGCGCGAAGAAATGCGGTCCATGGCCTGTAGGGAAATCTTGTGGCTGAAAGCCTACTACTCTCAGTCCATTGTATGTTTTCGAGAAAGAGTAAAAGGAAGACGCTGAAAAAGTGTTTGTAAATTTTGCGGCATATTCGTTTTCCGAGAATGATGCAATTCCCCACATATCGTGGTTTCCAAGGACTTCAAAGAGCAAGCCTCTATCAATACCTGAAGCATTGATGGCTCTCTCGTAGCCCTGCCAATGTACAAGCGTTGGTTCTGAGTATGTCGGGAGTTTGCAGCCAACATAGTTGTCCGTGATGTCGCCACTTAAAATCACGGCGTCTGGACTTATTTTCTGGGAAATAATCGAAAGAGTTGTTTGCAGGCGACTCTCTGTCTCATAGCACGGTGATACATGTGTATCGGAAAGGTGTACAATGAAATTTGGGTTTGTCGTGAGATTATATTGCGTTGGAGTGCTTTCTAGAGGGATGATTCCTGAATTAGATGTTGTAATATGTATGCCTATTACTAATAGTAAAATTATTATGAATACAAGTGGATAGAATACGAATGAAATTATCCTTTTCCACATTTGAATATTAATTTGACACGTTTTATACTGATCTTATTTCAGAATATATGTGTGAATATAGTCCGAATTTCAAATTTTATAATCTCAGAAAAATGGAAAATTCTGGTTGTTGAGTCAGTCCAGAAAATCTCATTTGGACGGTAATTTAAATGAACTTATCTAGTGTTGATATGATATATCACTTTTATGATGTTCTATTCCTTGATTGCTTCATTGTTTTGCAAGAATCTGATCTGAAACCTAAAAATAGCGATGTCATTATCAATTATTGTCTATTGTTGCTTTAATAGTATCGGAAATTAAGATTTTTATTGAATATCCATTGTTGAATTTCATAAAAGTTGAAAGGTTTATAAAAAATTTTGTATCAAGTGTGACTAACACTATAAATAAGATGTTAATATTATAATTTGTTAGAATTCTGATTTCATTGTAAATTTTCATAAAAATTTGAAAATCGGGCGATCCTATTTGGACATAAGAATAACCAAAATTTTATGTTGTATTGAAAATCTGAAATTCAATATGATATCAAATTGAATCATAAAATTTGATAGATGGCTGAAGCTTGTTTCCAGATAATTAAAACTGGATGGGCAGTTAAACTTGGCCAACGTGTAAAATCATGGAAAAGAAGATGGTTTGTTCTTCTTGGAAATGGACATTTAAGATATTTCGTAGACAAATCAACGTACATTGAGCAAGGCTGCATGATTTTAACAAAAAATACATGCATAACAGTTTCATGCGCTACCTCATCCGGCGTTCCTATTAACATTGTAAACAAAAAAAGAACGTTAATCATGACATGTGAAACTCATGCAGAAGCAGAGGACTGGTATAACAAATTAAAGGATGTCTGCGATACTCTTGAAAAATGAAATTCCGAAATCAAGCTAACGACAAATCAACATAATTCAAACGTTCGATGGCAATTTGAATTTATTTTGCCCTACATTTTTATGTAACTTCTATCCTTAGTTATAAAATCTTGTTTTGTAGTTTTGAAATTTCTATTGTATTATTTCTAGTTTTGAAAATAAGAACTATTCCAATGTTCTTCACTTACATGTATATGTGAAATGAAATCCACATAAAGATGAGGTTTCACAGATGGAATCGCCAAGATAAATATAGAAATCTTATATGGATTCTTCTTTTTAACAGTAAAGCAGGAATCTTATATGGATTCTTTTTTTATATGCATAAATTAACTATTAGTTGAAGATGACCCAATTTGTTCAATTTGATTTTAAAAAACTCTAAATTGAGTTAAGTTTCTACTATAAAATTTGCTTAAATACAATAGCTCTAATTTCTAGTGTATTCTTTTTTAATAATAAAAATATTTCACTCTAAAAAGTGCGAGATTTAGAAACGTTATTTTTTTTTAGGTAAATGCATTCATTATCAGATGAAAGATTACAGTACAGCTTTATTTTCTAACATCAGAGAGTTACATGTAGTTTATCAAACTTTATGCAAAACAGATGATGGTCTTTTAGGCTATCGAGAAATTTCACAAATGCTTACAGCAATCGGAGTTAAAGCAACTGCATCTCAATTACAAGATATAATCAACGAAGTCGTCGGTGATGAAGCTAAAATTGATTTTAATGCATTCGTTTTACTTATGACTCGCAGATATAAACAATTATCATTCGAAGATGAAATAGATGAATTATTTGAAACTATTGATGCAGGACATGATAATTTTATTGATCCTCAAGATGTAATTGCTTTAATGCAATCAAAAGGTATCACCGTAACACCAGGAGAAGCCGAAGCGTTGTTGGCAACAATCTCAGATTCTGCTAAAGGCATGAATAAGTCCGAATTTCAGTCGTTTGTGAAATCTCTCGGTGCAATTGTTATGACCGCTAAACCAGAGGAATCAGCCCAATGATTTTGTATTGTATTATGTTTCTAATTAGTATAGCAATAAAATTTTTCATATTTGTTTCTTACAAAAAAAAATTTTTTTTGGCTCATCAGATTTTGGAAAATGAAAGATGTGAAGTATTAAAAAATATTTTAAATTTATATATGTGCATATGCTTTAAATAGCGTTGTATAAAATCTTTAGTGTTGGTTGAGTTCCTTAGCAACAAGAGCATCACGCTTGGCGACAAGCTGAGCATATTTGAAGCGCTGGAAGTCGTTCATCTGAGCCTTGTTCTTGCGGGCGATAACCTGCTTGCCCCAGGCGGATTCGTAGAATTGCTTGATAAGATCCTTAGCAGCGGCCTTAGCAGCTTCTGGAGCAGCATTGCGCTGGATCTTGGCGACGTAGTCGGTGAGCTTGAGGCGGAGAATTGGGATTGTCTGACGTGGAGCTTCTGTTTCAAGAACATCGATAAGAACGCGCTTATCATCAACAATATCGACAATGATAGCGAGCTTATCTACAAGTTCGCCGTAGTTAATGAGGGCAATACGACCGATTTCAACAAACTGCTTGAAAGGCATTGGTTAAAAAGGCTGGGCCATGCGGTTTTTCACAGAATTTTTTTAAAGGGGTATTTTTAGATTTGGATTTTGGTTGTCGAATTAGATACACAACAAGCAAGAAATATTATTTGCAGTAAATTTAGTGTTGGATTTTTCGGTAATCTCGTTTTGTGCTTTTTTGATGCTTTTCATGATTTTTTACTTTATGTTATATCACATGAATATTGTTGACTTAATTTAATCAATAAATTAAATCAAACTCGATTTTTGAATTTGTGATTCGATATGCGAGGAATTTCTAAATGAATTTTTGTGTGTCTTAAGCGTTTTATATGTCATTAATTCTTTTGGTTCTGTATTCAAGAATGCATGATATTAATTGTCCCCCTTTTTTATTGAAACAGACCCGTAAAAAAAGTACGATTGTTTCAATTTTCATTACTTTTCATGAAGGAATTCCATGTAGGAAAAGACATTTAGAAGGCAATGACATCTGGGAAGAATTTTACGAGGATTCGTTCCGAAATAAGAAGACAAAATGTTAAAACTGCGAGATTAAATCTGGAGAAACACAATACTACTTAGATGAATGTCTTTTCTCTGATGAAAAAGATAAAATAATAAATTTTGATGCTTCATATAACTCCAAACTTTTCCATAATTACTGCGAATTCTATAATTGTTCTTCGCCAGGAAATGGAGGTAGTATATTCACTGAAAGCCAAGATTGCTCTATAGTACAAAGGAGATTTTGTGCAATAGATTCTTTCTCAAATCCAACCGATAATGAAAATTGTTATGGATTATTTTCGTAGGAAATGTAGGTGAAAATTGTCTTAATTATATCCTTGAAAGCACATTATTTGGCTGTGGAAAGCCAGGAACTGATACGAACGCATTGACCTTTCAAGAAAATGGTAATATTTCGCTATCTAAAACAAATTATACTTCATGAAAAGCATGGGAAATATCATCGAGTTATGCAGAAAGTACAACAGCTCCACTTAAATTTGAGTATTCGACATACTTTAATAACATTGCAGATAGCGAATCAATATTAATAACTGCGAATTTTAAATCCTCATTGAATCATTTGAATATCGTAAATAATTCTCAAAAGGGCACTGATTTTGGATTGATTGCTCATTATGAAGATGTTATGAATATTGATTTCTGTTCTATAACGGGGAATACAGTACCAAATGATGCTACATTGTTCTATAATGATGGCAATATAATAGTCAATAATTGCTACGTTAAAAATAATATTCTGAGCTCATTTTTTAAACCAACTGATATTAGTGGTTCAACAGAATATTTTAATAATACCTTATCTCATTTATCCCTGAATAGATGTGAAGCAGAATTTCCGATTTTTAATTTTTTTAGCACAAAGCTAGTCATGCTTCATGGTGGCATCGCCAATCTCAAATTAACAATTCCAAATTTAGTAATTATGAAAAAGTAAAAGATGTTTGTTATCATATTTCGAATTCTCGATTCGAAATCATTTTAACTCATTAATTTGTAGTTCTATATGATAAAATTAAAATCATTCAAATCTCTGTTAACACGGGGTGTATCTTTAAATTTTATGGTAGAAATTTAGATTAAGATTTGCTCCGATTTAAATATGTACATACACCCGTGTAACATGACATTCAATCCTGTTGTTTAAGATAAATTTTCATTTACGCTTCAAGCTTGTCGTAATAAATTCGAATAGAGGTCAGATAGGTGTAATTATTTAGAAAAAAATCAGAAGAAATTTCCAATTCAATGAAAATTTTAAAGTATATTTATGTTTGCCAAGGTGCTATGGAATCGATGAAATAATATAATGTTTTAAATATATTTGACAAGTATAGTCTGGAAATATGAGTCTTTATTATTATAAATAAATAAATGAAAAATATGGCGACCCGCTCTTGAACCTTTGCCTTTACGAAATTCAACTTGACAGTCTTGTCTTGTTTGAATTAAGGATTTCTTTCCAATTATATCTGGATGCATAATGAAGAGGGGTACATCCATCTTTGTTTTCAGCATTGATATCTGCACCATTTGAAATAAGAATTTCTGCAGTTTCTTTGCGATTTTCTCTGGCTGCTAGATGAAGAGGGGTACATACATCTTTGCCTTCAGCACCGATATCTGCACCATTTGAAATAAGAATTTCTGCAGTTTCTTTGCTATTTTTAATGGCTGCATAATGAAAAGGGGTCCATCCATCTTTGTCTTTAGCATTGATATTTGCACCATTTGAAATAAGAATTTCTGCAGTTTCTTTGCGATTTTCTCTGGCTGCTAGATGAAGAGGGGTACATCCATCTTTGTCTTTAGCATCGACATCTGCACCATTTGAAATAAGAATTTATGCAGTTTCTTTCCGATTATATCTGGATGCATAATGAAGAGGGGTAAATTCATATTCGTCTTTAGCATCGACATCTGCACCATTTGAAATAAGAATTTATGCAGTTTCTTTCCGATTATATCTGGATGCATAATGAAGAGGGGTAAATTCATATTCGTCTTTAGCATTGATATTTGCACCATTTGAAATAAGAATTTCTGCAGTTTCTTTGCTATTTTTAATGGCTGCATAATGAAGAGGGGTCCATCCATCTTTGCCTTCAGCACCGATATCTGCACCATTTGAAATAAGAATTTTTGCAGTTTCTTTGCTATTTTTAATGGCTGCTAGATGAAGAGGGGTAAATACATATTTGTCTTTAGCATCGACATCTGCACCATTTGAAATAAGAATTTCTGCAGCTTCTTTCCTATTTTCTCTGGCTGCATAATGAAGAGGGGTACATCCATATTCGTCATTAGCATTGATATTTGCACCATTTGAAATAAGAATTTATGCAGTTTCTTTCCGATTATATCTGGATGCATAATGAAGAGGGGTAAATTCATATTCGTCTTTAGCATTGATATTTGCACCATTTGAAATAAGAATTTCTGCAGTTTCTTTGCTATTTTTAATGGCTGCATAATGAAGAGGGGTCCATCCATCTTTGCCTTCAGCACCGATATTTGCACCATTTGAAATAAGAATTTCTGCAGTTTCTTTGCTATTTTTAATGGCTGCATAATGAAGAGGGGTACATCCATATTCGTCTTTAGCATTGATATTTGCACCATTTGAAATAAGAATTTCTGCAGTTTCTTTGCTATTTTTAATGGCTGCATAATGAAGAGGGGTCCATCCATCTTTGCCTTCAGCACCGATATCTGCACCATTTGAAATAAGAATTTTTGCAGTTTCTTTGCTATTTTTAATGGCTGCATAATGAAGAGGGGTACATCCATATTCGTCTTTAGCATTGATATTTGCACCATTTGAAATAAGAATTTCTGCAGTTTCTTTGCTATTTTCTCTGGCTGCATAATGAAGAGGGGTACATCCATATTCGTCATTAGAATTGATATCTGCACCATTTGAAATAAAATATTCTAAAAGTGATGAAAGATGGAAATTCGAAGAATAAACAAAACATGTGTTGATATCATTTGTTTGATCTAAGTAAACTAAAAATGATTGAAGATTATTGTATTTATAGCACAATTCTAAATCAATGTTTATGTTGTGTTCATTCATCAAAAATGTGACAAAATCGATATTGTGTGATATTATTGCATATTTCATGCATACATCATCTGGTTTTTGTACTTTCAAGCATTCATTCAGAATGGCTTGATTTCCGCTCAAAAAAGAATATCTAAGACATTCTGGAGTGATTTCTGATTGAAATTTCGTTATTAAGATCTTAAAACAATCAACAGATCCATGATAACAACATAATTCAAGTAATGAAATACCTTCATATGAATATGGATATAATTCACTTTTTAATTTTTGATTTTTATCAAATCCTTCGCTTTCTGTAAAAATTATCAATGATATTTTGTCATCATACATAATAGATCTGTGAATTGTATTTTGTTCGTGAATATCAGATGAATAATGAGAATCTTCAAAATCGTTAAAATTTTTTCTCCCATTTTCATTCAAGACTATATTGTATTCTTTGTAGAAAAGGTAGTTAAAAACTTCGTTGATTTTGTTGACCTGATTTAGATGGAATTCGTCAACAATTTGTTTGGTAATCGCTAAATATAACTTCATGAAGCAGTTGTTATAAATTGAAAGTTGAGATATTTTATTGATAATCTCACCAGGCGGAATTCGATAAGAGTCAATCAGGTTTTGTTTGATTTTGTTGTAAATTGCGTTTAATTTTTCTTCGTCATTTGTTTTAAGCCGGTACAAAGCATCGGAGACATCATTATATCCTGTAAAAATCTCCATCAATTTCTCATAATGGGCTTGGTGAGTTTCTCCCTTGGACATCAACCAAAAATTTTAGATGTCGTAATTTTCCATAAATTTCTCAAAACTCGATACACATTTTTACAGTCAGATTTTTCGTGAGACTACCTTTCTCGATACACATTTTTACCGAAAGGTAGGTCCACAAGCATATCATGTGATTGATCTGCAGTGCAAAGAGGTATATTTGATCAAATATAATTTGGGCCTCAGGTGGTTTCGCTTGCCCTTCGGGCAAGCACGCCACCTTCGGCCAAATTAAATTATTTTTTGAAAAATTGAATTATTCACTATTTAGTTGGCGCAAAGCTCCAACAAAATAATGAAGAATACTACTATTTGTTTACTTAAAATATGATTAAAATTTCTGAACGAAAACTATCAAAATTAAGTCATAAAAAATACAAATATAGGACGCTAATTTACTGTAAATTCATAATGTAAAAAGTGTGGGTGTTGTCCTCTATATACAGTCTTAATTCTATCGGCGCTTCGCGCCGATAGAATTGACTGACAAGGCTGTCATGCACCAGTGTGTTATAACAGATCGATTTTATTTGAAATTTCATAAATTATAATAAATTTGATATTCAGAGACGGCGCTACGCGCCTTTTAGCATTCTGGGCACTTACGTGCCCAGAATGCAAGATTGAGAAAATTGAAACTTCGTTTCAAATTTCTGCCTTGCTGTTAGGCAAAAAGAAAGTCAGTACAAAAAAATTTTGAAATTGAGAATAAAAATAATATTGTGAGTTTTTGTGATATATGGATTTTTTAGAAGATTTTAGAGATTGAAGTCTCAATTTATAAAAATTTTTTAAATTGAGAGGAATTTTAATGATATTATTTTATTTGATATTTGGATTTTGTAGATGATTTTAGAGATGTCAGTCTCAATTTAAAAAAATTACAAAAAATGATCGTAAAATAATCGTTTTTGTTCAAATCCTTTTCATTTCGGGAAATTGAAGTTAAATATCAAAGAGATGGTCTATGCATATGTTAAATCAAATCATTAAAAAGTGTTTTGATGACTTTTTCTAACCGCAAATCGTCACTTTTTGATGTTTTAAAATTATTATATATCCTATATGCATTCAAGATGCAAATTAATATTGTTGTAAACAGAAATTCATCAAAAGTGACACCTCAGAAAAGCTAAAATATTGAATTTTTGGAACTTTTGATAGAGCACGTTTTTAAATATTAATTAAAGTAAATGTATATTTTGTAAAGATTCTTTTTAATAAAAAAATAAAATTTTGAAGAAGAACACAAAATCTTCTGAAAAATAATATCACATAAACTCATATTATTTTCTAATATGACATGATGGAAAAATTGATTGGATTGACACCAGTTCATATTGCAGGGGAAATATTTTAGTAAAATTACAAATGATAATGAAGAAATGATCATTCATTATTCTCAAGAATTTATGATAATCGAGGTGAAGTATCATTGAAAGGAAACTTTAGAGTACAAAATTGAAGGGTTATAAGTACAACAATAAAATTCCATGTTATCATACACATTTTAATGAACTGCTCTTATATTGAAGGATTACATTTTTGATATATTTCTTCAGGATCAAAGTTAGCTTATCTTTGATATATCGCGCAGTATAATAGAATGTAAACTAATAATTATTGAAATTTTTTAAAAATTATCCTTTTTATACTGAACAAATCCTTGCATATACATAAATTAAGTCAATCAACCAATATTTCAATAAGTTAATAGATGGTTTCCACTAAGTTATCAATGATTAAAAAAGAATCTCGATATATTGCCAACATAAAGGTACATTCACTAGGCGATAACAGTAAAATGGGATGAAAATAGGATAAATAGCATCCCTATATAGTGCCTAACAATATTTATACGGGCCAAAAAAATTTGGCTAGAGATTTGGCGAGTTATAAAACTTAGAAAATTGAGAGGGATTTTTATTTTTGAATTTTTTTGGAAAGTTAAAATTGCGATTAAAAATAGATTTCTAGGAGAACTAAGCATCTCATCATATATTTAAATCGATAAAAATATTAAATAATAGTTGAATAGTATAACAACGTGAAATTATGGCTGAATCTACAGAAAAAATGAACATATTTGACATTTTTGAAAATTCATACGTTAGATGGTGACAGACTCATAAACTATACTTTAGCTAAGATTGATATATGGTTTCAACAACACATGGTTAAAATCGTAAAAATATTTTAGATTTCAAAAAGATATTTATGGTAATATAATGGAACAAAGTCAACAAATAGCATGTTAAATATGTTATAATTAACTTTTTATTAGATCCAATAGTAGATATCGAATGGTTTCCAGCTTTATGGTTAAATATTTTCTTTTCGAGCTTCTCTTTAACTGTTGTATTAAGGTTGTAAATTTTTGATGCTAGAAACTATGGAATCTTCTTTGCTGCTGCATTTTTCTTGAGAGTTCTTGCAATTTCGAATAGATCTGCGCATTGTATGAAATGGAGGCTTTAAAATATCTTGAAAACAGAATAGGACTGCTTTTCCAAAGGAATGCTTACTTGTAAATCAGAGAGTTTCAAAATTGAGAGCAAGATTATCATCATAACTTTCGATTTTGCTGCGAAAAAGGAAGACAAGTAATTAACAAATCATTTACTGTTGTTCATCAAAAGAAGAAAACTTTGATAACAACTAATGATGATAAAATCAAGCTATCTTTTAATATTTTAAATTGATAAGACATTCAAAATATTTGAATGGTTTAAAATATTTTCTTTTAATTTCTATAAGATATTATCATGATTATATAATAAAATTTAAATTTTTATTCAAAAAGGCAATATTTCAAACTTTTAATTTCAAAAATCTTAATTCTGCAATAAGTGTATTTAATTGTAGCAAATTTAATGATCCTTCGTCATGCTTAGCAATTTGGAACTCATAAATTAATGATTTCTTCAAGTAAAATTCTGTATTATTTCAAAAGTCAATAATTCTCTAGTAACTTTTCTTCAAACCCTAACCATTATATTATATGTATAATGGAGAATAATTGCAAAGAAAGATAGCCGAATTTACTGGGTAGTTCTTGTGATGCGAAATAATTGCAAATTAACACCTAGTTTTAACAGCATCAATCTCTTTTTGCTCTCATTTAAATGCATTCGCACACTTTAATTTTGAAATATAAGAGTTTTGGAAATTATCAAATTTATCTGCTCAAATACTATAGATCTTCATAAGTGTTAATAGAATCATTAGCCTTACATATAGTGTTTAATATAATGATGCACATTATACTGGGATTCATTCCTTATTCATCTAGTTATTATAAGATTTACAACCCCATGAAAATTTAAAATTTTGTCAAAAATAGTGAATGTACCTTTGCCAACATTTATTATTATTTTAACAGAAGAAATGAATTATTATTAAATTTTATGCTTAAAAACTCTAAATATAAGAATTGATGGATGAGTTTACAATCTCTCAAAATACTTCTTAATCGTCTATCTTGATCGACGTTGTAAACCATTCAATTTCCTCACAAAATTTTCTAGAGTCTGTTCGATCCAGATAACAGTATGCAGCGTTCAAAGCACCCATTATTTGTTCGTCTCGAGCAACGCGATGCCATTTTTAGAGATGGAAACCCAGCTTCTCTCTCCTTAGAATCAGAAAATGCTGAGGATTGCAAAGCATTTGTTTCCCTTTTCCAGGCATCTCCAGAAAATCAATTAACAGAATTCGTCAAAAACAAAAATCACGCAGAAATCTTCACAAAGCTTCTTTCAACACGTTCTGACCCAGCACCACTCAATCTTCTTTGCGCTTTCATCGATAGATTATTAGATCTCGATTTCAACGCTACAATCGGAGCACTTATGGCTAACTCCCAGAAACTCTCTGAGGGCTGCGCTAAAATTCTCATTGGCCACACAGCTGATCACTTGAATCAAGCATTCTTAGTTCGTACAATCCTTCTCCTCCTTGGTACAATCATTTCCGAGCGTGATACAAAGGCCACAACAGAAGCCTTCCAGACATTCACACGTACAGCCCTTTCCCTCCTCTCAGCCAAGTTAAATGAAGCCTCAATCGCCCTCGAATGTGTCAAGCGTGCTCTCCGCTCAGAGCAGTTCCGCTCCACATTCATTTCCGAGAAGGGAACAAAGCTTCTTCTTGATCTCCTCACACAAGCACAAAAGGCAAGCAACACAGACTCTCTCTACCACATCCTCTTCTGCATCTGGGGAATCTCATTCTCTGCAGAAGGTGCTGGCCAACTCTCTGAAGGTGACTTTATCCCAATCTTGACAAAACTCCTCTCTACAGTTCAGCCAGAACGTGAAGAGCTCGTCCGCCTTCTCACATTCATCATCCAGCAGCTTAACCCATCAATTGTTTTCATCGAGAACGCTTATGATTACGATATCCTCCGCCTCGTCCGTAACCTTCAGACAAAGCACTACGTCGACCCAGAGCTTACAACAGAGATCGCTAAGGTCGCTGATGATATGGCCCAGGCCCTTAAGAAGCTCTCTCTTTGGGACAAATACGTCCGCGAAGTCAAGAGCGGAAAGCTGAAGAACACAATCTCACACTCATCAGAACTCTTCTGGAAGGCTAACGTTGAGAGATTCGGTGAAAATAACTTCGCAGTTCTTATTGCTCTCAGAGATCTTCTTAAATCTGATGATGAAGAGACAGTTACAGTCGCTTGCCACGATATCGGTGAATACGTCCACAGACACCCACTCGGAAGGATAAAAGTTGAAGAAATCCATGCAAAGGAAATGATCATGGAGCTTCTTATAAACAAGAACCAGAATATTGTTTCACAGGCACTGAGGACAACACAGCTCTTGCTCCTCAGAAACAACTAAACTCTATTTTAAAGAATTTAACTTTCGTACTTTTATATTTACAAATAGTTATTTACTGAGTATGTATACTAACCAATTTCAAAGTCTTAAATGGTCTGTTTCTATTTCAAGATTTGATATCGTTGAAATTTTTTTACAGTTTTTATAAAATGAATCCGTGTTAATGATAGTTTATCTGAGGTGAATTTGGTCATTAGAATGTCTTAAGATGATTTAGAATCAATAAAAAAATTTTATCTTGCAATTATCGGAATATATGAACGTGAAAAATTATTGATTTCTTTAACTCCGATGGAATTTTGAAGAAAAAACATGTGAAATCAGATTCAAAATACTGTCAAAATTGCAAACATGGAGTTGTTGAATAAAAACATTCAACATTAGTTATATTTTATATATAATGTATAATTCCATAAAAGGAACAGAATTTAGCTTGTGTTCGCAAAATATCTTTCAACATTATTTATGTAATAGGTTTCATTCGTTTCCACAAAATGATCACTATCAAATTGAAACACATACTGTATGAAATTAGAAATATGAAATTATGTTGCAATACCCTACGTTCCCAACTTCTGGAAAACGGTTTTTCACCCTTATGATCAGTTTCAGACACTTTGGGAGTCTCCCAAACTTTGATATTTTGCATTATGATAGAGAAACGTGTCTAGTTTAACGCACAGTTGTTTTAAAGGCAAATGATGATATCACATGAAATTATCAAATTATCAAATTTTGAAGTACCAGTCCAAAGGGTTAATTAGATCCTACACAGATGTGCGATAGTGAAACATATGTGTTCTTGATTTGAGAAGTCCTACTGATAGAGGTATGAATCTCACAGCTTTGTGTGAGTGTGTCTGACACTTGTATAGAGTGGAATATGCGCCGACATATATTATATAATAACATGTAGTTGATAATTATGAAAAAATAGAATTTGATGCGAATGATATTGAAAGTTGTTTTGTAATTTGATATTTTTCTTATATGTGTTAATTAGTAAATGGCTTGTTTGTTGTGATAGTACTGTGAAAAATGAAAGGTATTTTAAATTAAAAAATTGAGATTTTGAGATATCTCTAGAATTAAGAATTTATTATGTATTTGACTTTTATATAACTATGTGTAAAGGATCTCGATGTCTATATGCTTTAAATAAAATTAAATAAAATGAGATAAAAAATTAAAATGGACAAGAAGATATATGGAAATGTAATTTTTATTGTATTGGTTGTTGGCAAAATGATTTTAATACAGATTTAAGAATTTGGAATGGATTTGAAATTAAATGATTTTTATTCAAGGAATAATAAGATTTTGAACTGGTTTTTATTTTGAGAATGTAAACTCCTTCCATAGGATATGTATTAGAAAGATCAATTTTAAACTTTTTGAAAGAATTGTTTTTTTGTTGAGTGATTTTCTCTCATTTGATAATATTTTTAAGTTGGCGTATCTTACGCCCTTCCAAATATTTCTTAAAAATTTAAATTTGTCTCATCTCGGGCGCGTAAAGGGTTGGCGTCCTAAGGCGTCCTGATGTAAACTATTCAATTTTTGAGAAGTTTACACCATAATTGAATAGTTTATGGCGTCCTGAGAGGAGATTTCAATGGGTATGGCGTCCTAAAAAAATAGAAGAAAATGATTTTTTCTCGATTTTCTAGAAATTGAATTTTTTAAAAAAAAAAATCAAAACGTATACATTCAAGAAAGACTATAAATGAAGATTTTTCTATTTTTTTCATTCTAAAACATCTTTTTTTGGATAATTTTTTTTAATAAATATGTAAGAAAGATTTGAAGAAAAAGTAAATTTACTTTCAGAAAATTCGTTTTACAATGTAAGACCCATAACAACTATAAATATTCAATTATTAAAATAAAAAAGAAAAACAGATTAAATGTATCTCACATCAAAATCCATTGACCTAAGGATGTTAAGTTTCTGTTTTTAAAAGTTGATATTTTTTTAATTTTAAGAAAATTAATAGCATGTTATTAGACAATAGGAGTGTAATGATATTGACTAAACAGAAATGAGAGAATAGAGATATAATTTTGATAAGCAATATTGCAAACAAATTCTGAAGTAAAATCGCGATCAATAATTGAAAATTACGATCATGTACTGAAAATGACGATCGAATGAATGAATAGAATTATATCTAAGAAAAATAAATTGTATTTAGAAGATGAACAAAGAAAGGTGTATGCTAAAACATTTAACAATAAATGGAAATAAAACGAAATTGTTAAAAAAAAAATGAAAATTTTAAATAATATATTATTTTTTAGTCATAAGAATAAAATATAGTAGTTATAAAAGGAATTAGACTTCATATATCAATTCTTTTTCTCTGTAGATGTGAACGTTTGCTTTTCGATCTCTTTCGATGAACTTGAAAATATAAGTTATTATCGCTGAGAATCCTTTCCGAAATAGGAGCTTTACGTTTAGGAGGATTGTCGGATGAATTTTGTTTTTTATTGTTTGATTTTGTTGTTATGGAAGATTTTTTCTATTTTTTCAGAATTTTGCTTGCTATTAACTGAAACTTGTTTTGACGGCCCAACAATAGCATTTGTAGTAGGAAGAATTCCCAATAACGAGCGCATTTTCGATAATTGTTTTCAAGGATTCTATTTTTTATCACAATATTAATCTTGAAAAATTCAGTAATTTAACTGAAACAGAACAACAAACAATTTTAAATTCCTACAAAGCGGATAAATTTACATATTACATAATGTGCTCACAAATTGTAAAATCAAACTGGAACAATTTATCCCAAACTTTAGTTAATATTGCAAATCAATATTTGCCATTTTTAGATGAAGAAAAGCAAATATATATATTTACTGAAATAACTGGCAATTATCAAAATTTTGAAATTTCAGTTGCAAACTTGTTACTTTTTTATGAAAACAATGAAGAAAAATTAAGCAACTGTTTTAATTTAACATTGTTCCAGCAAATTTATTCCAAAAATGGAATCGAGCAAATGATATTTTTTGCTGCAAATACAATTTGTTGCAATAACACTTCTATCAATTTTTACAATCTCCTTGAAATTGAAGAAATGAATCCATTTGATTTTTTTTATTTCTCAATTCAATATAAAGAGATATTAAATTGCGATGATTTTCCAAAAGTTACAGAAGTAATCACAGGTTTAATCTCAGCTTCAAATATTAATGCTATTATGCGAATTTGCCAAAAAATTTTGGATAAAATTACATTTTATAAATGTAATTATTGCCATATTACCTCAATATGGAATTTTATCACAAATGCAGCAATAATTCTTCCTGATGAAGATTTATTAATCAAATTATTAAAATTCATAGAAAAAACAGAAAAAGCAACAGATGAATTATTCGAACCGGAGAATGATTTGGGTTTCTATGAATATTTAAATTCGATTTTCTCAGATATTACATCTGCGAGAAATAAGCAATTTCTCTTGGAATTTCTAAATACCCATGAAGATGACTTCACTTATGATCAAACATTGTGAGGTCATTTTTGATCAACAAATTAATTGAAATTCCGATCAAAAAAAATTCACAAATTGGATCAAAAAAATCGAATCTCAAGTTCAAAATAAAAAATTTCTACATTTTTATCAAATTTAGATTTTTTTTTTCAAATCATGCGAATTGATTGAATAATTGCATATTTTATCCATGCATCTAGAAGTATGTGTAATATTTTTGCTTTCATCAAGAAATTGTCGAATTTGATCTTAATTTTTTTTGAAAAATATACTTTTAGAAAAAGAAATAGTGATTGAATAGCTGCCCATGCTGTAAAAAGGTTATTTTTACAAGTAAAAAAAATTGTTATTTTTCGAGCAAGTCGAGGCTTTTTACCATCTTATTTTTGAAAAATTTACGAAAAATTATATCTGAAAAAACGCTTCATTTTGATATCTTACAATGATAAAATACCTTTGCTGGGATATAATAGCTACACCTGGACATCTACTACATTAATGCGTATGACAGGTAAAGTTGATTTCAAAAGTATAGCCTGGAAAGATTACAATAAATCAACGATAATTCAAAAAAATTTCTTATAAGTTAACATAATAAAAATTTAATTTTTATATTTCTTGTAGTATACTTAAGTATATAATATATTTAAATCTTAGAATGAAAATTCGGGACGCCCTAGCTATTCAATTTTCCCTTAGGACGCCCATAAACCTCTCAAAAATGTGATGTAAATATCACAATTTTGAGAAATTTACACTAGGACGCCTTAGGACGCCAACCCCCTTTTTTACCCTCATCTCCTACTCTTAATTTAAAAAAATTTCAAAATCCATAATAGTAAACATTTCTTATTTTTATTTAAATCTGAAAAAAATAAATTTAAACAATTTCTCTACACACGACGGCTTCGGCGGTTTTCAGAATGGTTGACAACTGAATTCATCAGGATAATGTCTGTTGGGGTGCCCTTCTTGGCCTCCTGAGTACTCACCAAGATACCCCCAGCTCCCGCAAAACACCTCCCATAGGTGAGCATTAACTGATGAAGTTATTGACAACTTTATCTGATTTTTTTTTTGTTTTTTTGTTAAGATTTCTTAACCAAAGACTCGAAAAAAAAAACTTCGCTTCAAGTTGCTGTCTTCCCAGTTACTCTGTCGCAATCTTTTGTCTGATTGCGTGCAAAGTTCTGCTCCTTTGAGACTTTGCCCGACAGATGCATCTGGGAGACAGCACCCAAGCAGCTTATCGCTTCAAGTTGCTGTCTTCCCAGTTACTCTGTCGCAATCTTTTGTCTGATTGCGTGCAAAGTTCTGCTCCATGAATTATCAAATAGGTGCCATTTCAGGAGAGATAACAAGCTCATGCCTCCTGGAATGGCGGATTGTTCAACAATCTTCTTCTGATTGCAGAACTTTCAACCGACAAGAGTGCACAATACACTCTTGTCGGTCAAAGTTCCGCATTCAAGTTATGAATGGGGAACTTGATATCAT